GCCCCTTCCCTTTTTGGAAAAGTATACCCCTGAAAAAAAATACTATACACACCAAGAAGATCTTATTAATTAAAATAATAAAGTTAATGTATGCAAGTTTTTCAATGTTTAATATTCACTTTTTACTAATAAAATTAAATATAGATAGTTCCAAATTATTTTAAAAAATTTTTTAATTGTATTATTCATTTTAACATGGTATACGGTAAAAGATACTATAAAAAAGAAATGAGTTACTCTTTAACTTGTGAAAAAAAGGAATGCGTTACTCGCTATTTAAAAAAAATAACGCATTATTCGTTACTTACAAAATACTAAATATAATAAATATGAAAATTTTTATTTTTTTCCATTAAAAATAAAAATAGAATTACAAAAATAATATATTATGATAAGTTTTTTTTTAATAATTTTTTATTTATTTTTTACAATTTTCAAAATTTTGATCAGAAAGCAGCTTCGCCTAGACACATTAACTGGTGAAGAGGATAAGAGGATTGTATTATATTTAATAAATAGAATTTTTAAGTTTTTTTTTCAATTTTGTTTTCAATTTCAAATATTCACATTAGAGATCTGCACCGGCCCATAGCCTGCCTGATGAGCCGGGTATATTTTTCAGAAATAATTTCGGTTCGGATTGAGTCGGGCCTAACATTTTTTTAAAAATTTAAGCCAGACCGGGTGGATTTAAATTTTTAAATACGACATTACATTTTGTCATATTTTAAAATTCTTGCTAGAAACAAAGAGCTAATTTTTTTTTATTTGTAGAATATTTTTTTTTACGATCAAAAATAATATTAAATTTTTCTATATTTAAATAAATTCGGGCTAGGCGGGCGGAAAATGGTTTTTAGTTTATTTCGCGTCTGGCTTTTCGGGATTAATAAGTAAAAAAAAATTGTTCGGTATCCTGTCGGACAAGATTTTTTAAAAAATTTCGGGCCGGGCTTGAAAAATTAGGCCCGATGCAGATCACTAATTCACATAGTTTAGAAAATATATTAAAAATTTTATAAACTATAATTGTGGGAATTTATTAAAAATATTTAAAGAATGATCTTTATTTTCAAAAAAACTTAGATCATCTATACAAGAATCTTCATTAAGATCCTCATCAATTTTTTTTTTATCTTTATCAGAATTTAATCTGAATTCATATTTTTACATTATTATGTTTTTTAAATTTGAGCTGCTGGAAATCGAGGTTATCTGAATAAGGGCACAATCTACACTTACAAATAGGGCTTAATTCCCTTAATTTTCTTTAGGTGCAAAAAGTTTCATAATGGGACAGTGACAGAATTATATCATCTTCATTTGAGACTTTATAAAATTTACAACAAAAATGTAATAAATAAAATAAAAATGAAGAACTTTGGTACTGAATTAAAAACTGGCTTAAATTATTTAAAAATTTTTAAATAAAAATATATTTTGTAAGAAAAAATTTAAAGTAATTACATGAGTAATGTTTTGTATTACAGTTACTCAAAAAAAAATAAACGCGTTACTCGTTACATTTTGAAACAAGTAACGAATGAGTTCTTTTTCCTAAAAAAAGGTACATTGTTAGTAACGACGTTACTTTATCAGCTTAACACTAAGCAATTTAAAAATTGAGAAAATTATTTTAGAATTCTAAAACTGTTTGTCAATTTCTTCTCTTAAATGTCTGACATTTCTGTGATTCCACGATTCTCTAAGTAAGAACTAATAAATTTTAATAATTTGTTCGGTTTGTATATTTTTTTAAAGGCGAAACTAGTGTACCCTAATAATGACTTCGTTAACCTTTTTACAAGTTAACTTAGATATAATAAAAATGCCTCTTACTCTCAACTATATAACTTAACAATCCAGCATAATTCTTTCTAATAATATTAAATAAATACCATTGACCATTAACGACGATCCATATTTAACATAACCCATTTATTCAAAATTATATTTATCCATAATAAAACAACAATCTAATCTATTAAGAAAAATATAATATAATTTATCCAATTCTTCATTTCCCAAAGGTCCACAGCTGATATCTTATCCAATATCTCCCAATCTCCAACTAGGGGTTTTTCCTAACAATGAAACACCCCGTGATCACCATCTCCTCTTCTTCCCCCAAGGAAAACTTAATTCCCCTGTCAGAAAATAACTGACATTTTAAATTATTAGAAAGATAAGAAAATGTATTATGCAGCATAAATTTACAAAAAAAAATTTACACCAAAAAAAACTTTCTCCAGTATGCAAACTAAACAATATTCTCACCTCAAGGCATACCCATCAACACGGGCTGATCTTATCTGTAAAAATATTTTCCCTTCACATCATTGCATACTATAAAACTAATATAATAATTGCAAATATAACTTTTTATAAAATTTTATAATTTAAAAAAAATATATATATTAAATATTAAGATTTCATAATTTGGAAAAAAAAATATTATACCTCATCTAATATATCATATAAATTCCTATCCAATTTATATATATACTAAATGTAGACACTAAATCAAAATAACTATCCACCTCTAACATTGGATATTATTCTGACTTCCTCATACCTCAATTCCTTCAAATTATCATTCATAATTTAATATATCATATGTGTAATTCACATTACACCCTATTTCATAAAAATGGTTAATTACCTCAAAATAAACAAAATTTAATATATCATATGTGTAATTCACATTACACCCTATTTCATAAAAATGGTTAATTTAATAGATCTTATGTGTAATTCACCTTACACCCTATTTCATAAAAATGGTTAATTACTTCAAAATAAACAAAATTTAATATATCATATATGATGTAATTCACCTTACACCCTATTTCATAAAAATTGTTAATTACTTCAAAATAAACCACATTACCTCACCCTCAATGGATCCCTTAATAACATATCAACCTTAATTGAAACTAAATTACAAATACCATATATTAACATTAATTATTAATAAATGATCCCAATCCTTTAATAACATATCAACCTTAATTATAACTAAATTACAAATACAATATATTAACATTACTTAATAATAAATGATCCCACACATGTCCATCCCTTTAAAAACCCAAAATGCCTAACTTTATTACAAAAGTCTATTTCCATATATATTTTCCTAAATTTCAAATATTTAAATATTTAGCAATCCTTTCTGTCCTGCTGATCATGAGGTCTAGCTTCCTATGACGGAATACCTATAACACCATTCAATGAGTTTTAAGGCATACCAAATAATGATCAAAATTGGATGTACCATATACATCTAGACATAAGATAATATACCAAATATTACTGTCTTAAATTCCTGAACTTATTTCCATATTTCTGCCTAATACTCATTACATACTTTCAATCTTACATTTTTTAAAGTTAAATATAAAAGTATAGAAATCCTTAAACTCACCCCCTCTTGTATAGTGGTTATTACATTGCCTTGTCAAAATTATTATATAATATGTATACAACAAAAATTTTGTTTTACTATAAAACCGAATCAATCCACTCTTTCGCTCCTGGCCAGCTGGCAACACTTTTACAAGTTAACTTAGATATAATAAAAATGCCTCTTACTCTCAACTATATAACTTAACAATCCAGCATAATTCTTTCTAATAATATTAAATAAATACCATTGACCATTAAAGACGATCCATATTTAACATAACCCACTTATTCAAAATTATATTTATCCATAATAAAACAACAATCTAATCTATTAAGAAAAATATAATATAATAAATCATAATTATCCAATTCTTCATTTCCCAAAGGTCCACAGCTGACATCCAAAGGTCCACAGCTGACATCTTATCCAATATCTCCCAATCTCCAACTAGGGGTTTTTCTTAACAATGAAACACCCCGTGATCACCATCTCCTCTTCTTCCCCCAAGGAAAACTTAATTCCCCTGTCAGAAAAAAACTGACATTTTATGTATTATATTAAATTTATTTCTTCTTTTTCAACAATTACAACAAACCTGTCGTTCATGGCAAGAGCATAGAAACCTGAAGATTTTTTGAATTACGAATACTAATTCCAATTTTTAGAATAATTACAAAAATATAAAAATATGCCTTTTTTTAAAAAAAAAAAACTCTTAACAAAGAGCTTAAACAGAAAAATAAAAAAATAACTTATTTCTTTATAAGGAAAATTTTATATCAAAATTTTAAAAAAATAAATCAAAAGTACACGGCAAAATTGTCAGAAATATACATTGTGGTGGGTACTCTATACATGATGGAATACATTTTCTGTCCTACCTTAAAATTAAGAGATTCCGAAATATATTCCAAGCCTTAATACGAAGTAATGTACGTGAGATTAGCACAGCCGGCCCCCGAACGTCAGGATTTTTAAAGTTTTTTGGTCCGATTCGAAAAAATATTTTATACAAATTGCCTGGCCCAATTTTTTTTCGTTCCGCACCCACTGTATTTAGTTTAAACTGCCCGATTTGGGTCGATTTTTATAAATAACCCGATTAAGATTTTAGCCAAAATAATATTATGTAAGCCTAGAGATTTCGCTCATAGATGGTAGAAAGGTTTAGACTTCTATTTTACAAATTTCGAGGTTTACATCATATTATTTTGACTAAAATCTTTAAAAATCAACAACACTACGTGTATCGAAATATTCTTTAGTTTTTATAAAAAATAAATACCTATTTTAAATGTATTGTTTGTTTGCGTGATTAAGTCTACTTTTTCCAAAATCTTGGAGTTTGAATTAATAGAGAAAAATAGATATATAATAATTACTATTAATCATTTTTTGACATAATGATACGAATATATTATTTATATTATAATGAGGTTTGAAATATGTAGCATAAATTATTCATAAATAAATATTTATTTTTAAAAAAGAATGAGCACTGAGCTTAATATTGATTTTAGAAATATACTTATTGCTTCTTCAGTTTACAAGTACAACTAGATAATGAAACATAATTTTTTTTATAATTCAGATATCCCATGGACAAATCCAGGTTTTTCTAAATGGCGGTGGGAAGACTTTTGGGTGAGTTTTTCTCCATAAAATATATTAGATGATTATAGGCTCACTTTTTTTAAAGCCTTTGGCTCAGATTATATATTTTTTTTAAAACTTACCCCTTATTTCTAAATAGCAATCTGTTTAGCTGTTTATATAGATTCCTCTAAACAACCTAAAAAATTCTATCTTTCTTGTTCTTTCTTACTTTCTTTCAGCTATTTAGATTTAAGTATGTAATGTATCTTTGTGATATTATCCAAAATATTTATATAATGTGCACACTGGAAACAAACAAAAAAGTCCTAGTTTTCATAATCTGTTTAGCCATTTCAAAATGACGAATCAGAACTCGGCCTTAAATTTTTTTTAAAAATAATAACTTATATAGTACTTAAAAAAATATATTGTTTATAATCTAATCTGAGATATAAATTTATTCAAAAATTTAACAATTACTTTTTATTGATTATATAATGTCCGATTGGGATATAGAATCTCTCGATTTTAAATCATTTAACTGAAAGTATTTAAAATTCTAGGAGATATAATTTAACATGCACAGAGTGCGCATGAATTTCAGAAAAATTTCCCGCCATAAACTTTTTTAGTATTTTTTTTTTTTAATTTATATGAAAAAATATGATCAAATATAAATCAGGGGTTGTTAAAATGTTCATGGCAAAATTGTTTGAAATTTACAGTTTGGGGTATACTCTATACTAGTGTTGGTAAACGGCCCACGATTACGATTTTAGATAAAAATTATATTATATAAATGGAGATTTTGCTCATAGGTGTAAGAAAGGTTTGGACCTCTATTTGCCAAATCTCGGGGCGTACATAATTTTACTTTGGCTAAAATTTTAATCGGGTTCGTCTAACATCACTAGTACTATATACATGATAAAATAAAATTCCTGTCAAGATCTTTAAAATTTGAAAATCGCTCTCAGTTTAATCCCGATGAATTTCATAATCCCAAAATACGACAAAGTATTTTAAATATTTTAAAATATTAAAATAGTCATCTATGCCAGATATTGGAGGTGTCTACCAGATACCTGACACCATGATAATCGGTTATCAGCAAGAAAAGTAGTGTCCCTGTAATCCTTTTTATAATGACAGTTTTACTCATTTGGGGGGGGGGGGGGGGGTGGAAAGAGATGATAATTTTTAAAATTTTTTAAACTTTATAATGATATTTAAGAAGATTGATTCATTTTCTAGGTGGGAGACTTTCTTCCTTGAAAGACCATGAAATATAACACCATCTTTGAGGATTTAAACTCCCTCTTCTCTCTTATTTAATTTAACAAAGAATTTAATGTATAAAATGTCATTGATTTTTATGATTATGAGATTTTTGATAAATTGGGTCATTAACAATAAATCATTGAAAGCACAAGTGCTTCTTCAATTATATTATATATGAAAAAAGATAGTTATGAAATAATTAATATGATGAGAAATTAAGTATTATTACGATATTTATAAAGTAAATTTCACATTAAATAATTTATAATCTTTTCTTTTTTTTAAAGAAGGTTGACTTTACCAATTTTTTTTTTTATAAATTTTGGTTATGATATTTTAAATTTTTAAGTAAATTTATAATAAAATAGAAATAATAATAAATACCAGTTGCGCATTGGCTCTAATATTTTAATGCCTGCTAAAAAAAAAAATATTTAATTTTTTTATTTTATTTTATTTCGAAGTGCCCTATAGATTTTGTAAAAATAGAATTTAGAGAATTCTCAGTATGCTGTTGTTGAAAGATATAAATGTTAATTGTACCTCCTTCCTTTCCCTTCCCTTTGGGGTGGGATGTGATTATATATTTTTATTATTTAAACAAAAATTTAAACAAAATATATTAGTTTACATTTAAGAAAAATGGGTATTGAAAAATAATTTCATTAATAATTTCTATTATTTATTTTTCAAATTTTCAATAATTTTTCATTTGTTTTTTTTAAATTTTAAGTGATTTTAAAGGTTAGATTTTTTTAAATGTCGTGCTCTTGTCTTAAAGAAATTTTTAAATAAATAATTTAAAAAAAATATATATATAATATAATAAATAATTTATTCAAAATGATTTAATTTTAAATATTAAAAAAAAAGATAAAATATTTAGAAGAATTTTTTAAAAGAATTTCCATAAATAATTTTTTTTTTTAGATGACTGACAAATTATGCAAACATTTTATTCATTTTTAATTATTCTTAAAAAATTGTTTATTGGTTCCAATATTTTATAATATAACATCACCCAACTTATCTTTATAACAACACTATACAAAATCATGTTGGCAAATTAGGCAAACAATTCTGATTCAACTTATAATGGTTAAATTAATATAATATTTTTTTTTCTTAATTTAATCACAAGTTTTGGAGTTCATTTATGTATATATCGCCTTTTTTTAGTAATATGGTGTGTTTTTTTTCTAAAGAAACAGTGAATTTAATAAAATAAGGTCTTTATCTTATTGTCATCTAATTTATAATAAAAAATGACACTATGCTTTTCCAAAAAGTTCCTATGTTTCTGAAAAAGAGCATTATGTTATATAAAATGTTATATATCATAAACCCGCAAATAGTCTAATTTTTAAACCTGGTCTGGCTCGGTTTAGATTTAATTATTTTTTGGCGCTAAGCGTAGGTATTTTTATATTTTGATTATTTTCTACCAGCCCACGCGGATTTTTAAAATTTCATATTATAAATAATTTTGGTTGTATTTTGTAAATTCTTGCAGGTAAAAATTGTTGAATGATTCAACTGATTTATTATATAATTTTCCAGCTAATTAAATGGTAAAATTTAAGTTCAGCCCCCTGATTATTTCTAGATTGGCGATTCATGCATTTTTAAAGTGTACATATATAGAAGTCCGTGGTAGCTCTATTTTATAGTTTGCACTTCGATTAAATGACATTAATGTGCATTCAATCATAAATAAGAAAATTAATTGATGTGCAACCACAAGTTACAACTGACTCCTAAGAATGCAAACTTTTAATTAATATATCACATCATATTGGAAGATTCGCGAGGATCGGAGGAATTAGAAGGTGGTTCTTCAGAAGGAAGAAAACTTGATTGGCTGGGAGATGCGATAGTGCTTAGCACATGAGGGATAATATTTAAAATAACCAAAAGGAATATAAAATTATCTTTCTTTTTTATCCAAATTTTTGTATTTCTAATAAAAAAAATTCTAAAAATATGTTATAATTTATATTTTGGCAGAAGGAAAATTTTAACTCATTGTCTCATTTTTTTGTACCGGTTAATTTTCATTTATTTTACTTTTATAGTGAGAAGGAGGAATAATCTTTATTATTATTATGAAACCTTAGAAATTACTTGAGGCAAATCTGATCTCCTGACTTGGTAAAAACCATTTTGAGTCTGAATTTCGCATTAATCATCGGTGTCGCTATAAAAGGATGCCTGTCAGAACACTATATATTATTTTTAACATTTTCGAAGGTAATTACGATAAGATAAATTTGGATGTCCTATCGAATTCTTGTTTGGTACAAGAATTTATAGCGCCTTGTATCGATGCCTAATAAAAGGTAATGTAAGCTCTTATAATATGCACGTCTGCTGTTCATTTCCCAATTTTATTTTATAATTTGGCAACATTATCTATTATACACCTGCGATAATGAAAGGTCATTTTTCAACATAAGTATGGTTAAACCAGATTTGTGACTTGATCATTCTGGACCGTAATCTCCTTCTCAAATGCATTTTTTTAAGCAATATCACATATCTCATCTATTTTATATAATAGACAAAAACAATTATATATGCAAATACAATTATCGTCATTAACATTAATCATATTTATTACATATTACATTATTTTTATAATCACTTTCATTTTAAATAAAATTTCACTAATAATATATAAAGTATTACAATCATTTTAGTGTTATTATGATCGATATTGATGTTCATTATAAATATATAAGGAAAAATTAAATAAATAAAGGTTATCAAATCAATCTTAAAAACTATTAACCTTGTGGTGAATCATATTCTAAGAGAGGTTAAATTAAACGTTCTTCCATGTCATGTCTCTTATCCTTGATATAGCGTATTAAATAAAGGTGAGCCCGGCCTTCAGGCTTTGAGTAAATTTTAAAAATAAAATATTTTTGAGAAATTGGTATTGTTTTTTTTAAATATATTTTTTTAGCTTCCTGTAGTAGTCAAATAAAAAATATGTCTGAACCTTGAAAATTAAATTAATTTTATGGGAGAAATTTCTGAAAAATGTGAGTAATGTTGAAGTAGAAGAAAGACAAAGGGGAAAAGGGGGATAGTGTTGACTCAGTGACTGGTATTTTCTTATCACTTAATTTAAAACTAATACCTTGAGATTTTTTAAAATTTGAGAAATAAATGGATTTTAAGATGCTCAAAATGTTATAAAAATTGTTATCCAGAAAATTGTTAATAAATAATTTTTAAATGCAGATTTTGATTTTAAGATCTCCAATATAAAAACCATTGTAATTTTTACAAATAATTTTTTTTTATAAAAGTTTAAAACTAACTTCAATTTTATCTTGTAATAAAATATTGACAATATTTATGATAATTCAATATCTTTAATTAGATTCTAAATATGACAATTTGGGGCAGGTTTTAGCCGGGTCCGTATTAGCCTTTTTTAAGCAGGCATTTTTATATAATAAAAGTAAATTAAATTACTAAGTACACCAGAAGCCTTCATAGGGCCAGTGACATTATAAAGATGATTCACATGTCTTTTTTTAAAATTCATAAGACAACTGACAACATGTTCTTGCTAGATGGCATAAAATATACTTAATATGCATTCTGGTGCATCATGGTTGATAATGTATTGTTATTTTAACATAGAATTAAAAATTTTCCAGCCATATCACGAAAAAAGTATATAAGCTTTGATAGAAATAGATTTTTATTTATATTTAATTTGTCTTTTTTAATGTGAGAGGGTGTTAAGTATG